ATTGAACCTACACCTTCTATATGAGAAATGCATTCTCAGCGACTGAGGTACACTTTGTGCTAGAGGACATAGGAGTGGAAAATGATATTTTGTGCCCCAATGACTTTCATGAGGCAAACAAATGTATAATATATCTCTAGGATGTATGGACAGACATGATGTAAAAAGGTAGAAAAGACACTCTAGATCAGGGGTGTCAAACTGCCGGCTCATGGGCTGGACGAATCACATGGAAGCCGCACCCACCCCATTGCTGGCAATGGCAAAACCAGCCCAATAAGTTGCGCAACGTCACGTGACTTCGCGAGTTTGACATGCCTGCTCTAGATCATGCTGAAAAATGTTTGCTGCAAAAGTATGAAGAAAAACGATACAAATGTTCTACAGAGTAAAGTATATGTACCAAATCCCCACAAAAGCCTAATGAGGGGTCTGGATTAAAAGTTTTCCAAAACAAATAGTGACCATGAATGCTTTCAAGGAACATGTGACCACAATTCAGTGCTAAAGCAATTATGCAACATTTTAACTAATTTTAATTCCCAACTTCATAATATTTTTATTTTTAACCCAGTGATCCTCTACATGGGGCTCCCTTTGAGGAGCACCCGGAGGCTTCAAATGGTCCAAAATGCGGCCGCGCGGGCGGTGTTGGGAGGGACTCGTCGCTCCCATGTGACACCGCTGCTGCGCGAGCTGCATTGGTTACCAGTGGCCTTCCGGGTGCGCTTTAAGGTATTAGTTACCACCTTTAAAGCGCTCCATGGCATAGGACCCNTTCCGGATCTCCTTACCTTCCGTCGCGCCCTCAAGACATGGCTCTTTCAGCAAGCGGACCTGACCTAGGGTGGATTTTATATTGGGTTTTAAATATTCGGAAGACGCAACATTAAAATTCGGTTTAATTCGGTTTTAAGGGGGGGATTGCATATATGTTAATGGTTTTAAATATGTTGTGCGCCGCCCTGAGTCCCTGTTGGGAGAAGGGCGGCATATAAATTAAATTAAATAAATAAAATAAATAAATAAATAAATATGTAATTTGGTAATTACTGTGTTATGGAGATTTGCATCATGCCTTGGCAAAGAAAGATAATAAATTGGTGTTAGCAGAAGTTGTGTTCCTTTAGAGAAGAGATGATACTTCTTTGATATCAAAGCAAAGGAAATGGTGGGAAGTTCCAATTCCCAAAGAGATACTGTACTACTAAAACTTGAGATCAGGGATCACAAGTAAGGAGCACAATGTAAAGATCCAATTCTAATGGTAGAACAGAAAGAAAACAAGCCAATACTTCCTAGTCAGCCCACTTTATTTTGGATCTTCTGAATGATGAAATACATCTATTAGATCACTATTATGGTCTAATTAAGAGATACCTTAACAGCAAAAATGGGATTGTCATGTAATTATCCAATATTTTCACTTCTGTTACCATATGATTTTAGGCAGCCATTCTAACATTATATAACAATTCAGAAGTTTATAAGCCAGTTGTGTATATGCCAGATAGAAGAACCAACAATGAATTTCTTTTTATAATTTTGGTAACAAATAATAAGGCATGTGGATGAAAGTAAATTGAAAAAATTATAAGCAAAAGAACTGATCCATGGTAACAGAAACTGATTATGTCATAATGTTGCACAGAGATTTCCTGCATGGACTGGTGATATCACAGGAGCCCAGTTAAAGTGAGACTATCTCTGAAATTGTTTTGAAAACAGTTACCAAGTAATCATCCCAACAATATATTGTGCAAGTACATTCCACCCTATCAGTACCAACACTCTGTCTTCTTTGGTGCTATAAAATTAGTGTAAATGAAGTTGAATATAACTCTGATCAAAAAGAAAAGCATGAACTAATTAGCTATGAAGTATACTTGGTACCTAATATAATCAATAGAGCACCCCAAATTATGCCCTTTTTATCAATCAACTTTTAAATCATTCAAGAATAGATTGAAAATATTCAAATATTAAATTTAGTACCGGGTCAATGTATCATTCTAAGCCATTGTTTGGTTTTAAACATAGTTTCTTAATTAAATTACAGTGGCAGTGTTCATATCCTAAGCCATGGCTTCCTTAACCTGAGTATGATGGCTGACTGAAATGACAACTTATTAAGCTTTAAATCACAGTTTTCAAAACATACTGGCTGGATTTGTGCAGCTTTCTTCATACAAGTTCTTCTCCCCGCAATAAATAAAGAGGAAAAGGCACCTACCCTATTCTTCTAACCTCTTGTGAGTTATAAGTTTCAGAAAATGAAAATGAGGAATATAACTCAAGAAGAATAAAAGATTAGCTTTTCAGCCCACCGCCATGACCTGACTGAAACTTGGCTTTCTGCTAACTGATTTTAAGCCTGAATGAGCATTGTGATTTCATAGGATTGTGATAGGGAAAGCATAGCCCAGAGTGAACATAGCCACCTTTTCCCCTTACTCTTTTTCTGCCAGGCCTGCTTTTTTATGGCTGCTTCTCCCTCCCTCCCTCCCTCTCACTTCCTGCCTAGTGGGCTGCCAGCACAAGAGACAGTTTGTTTTGATCCAAGTCATAAATGATTACTAGGAGAATGATTCTGCAATTTGGTCAAGGGCCACATGGCCCAGATTTCCCATCTATTTGGGCCAAGAAAACATCAGGAGATTCCTATCACAGGTCTCTCGTCATGTCTAATCCAACTTTTTTTTTTTAATGGCACAAAGGCTAAGCCAATTGCAGTTTAGTCAATTAATCATAGTTAAGCAAATATTTAATGTAGTAAGAGAGTTCAGCCTTTGCAATATTTAAAAAATAAGTTGCCTGATGTAGGACATAATTTTGGCTCATTGTACTGGATGCAAGAAGTTGTAACACCAACATTAATGGAATATTTCAAACATAGCCTACTTACTTCCAATCACCTATTGCCAGAAAACTGAAGAGACTGAAGCCTGCTCTTATTACAACAGAAGTAGCCATCTTTTTTACTCATCCTCCTTTAACAATTTTTCCCCATTTCAAGTGGAAAGAACACTCTGAAGCATACACAAATTTAGCCTGGTCTAATGGGTTGAACCAAACCAGTATCAATGACTATACCACTTCATTTGCACATTAACATGTACTTTAGTTTGCGTCTTAATGCATTGTGTTATTTCAGCAAGTATGATCTATGCTTCAATGTGTTCTTTGAACATTGACAACTGACAACGGTTTACTTAAAATTGGGTTAATGAGTTGTGAGCTTAATGAGCTAAGTTTCCAAATGAGCGTGCCAAGTAAATACAATCCAATAATGTTAAATAGGAGATTTTCTAGCTTCATCCCAGCTTTATCAATCAAATGTCTTATTTTCCTGTCTGATCGCAGACGGCTTCTGTATTCAAGGAAGCATTTGCTTGTTCCTCCAATTTACAATATTTAGTTAGTTCAATGGCAGTGGAACCAGAATTGCTATCACTAAGTGATACAGTCATAAAGCATAATGTCACATGACCCTGTTATATAACAAGAGCAATTCTGGCTCTCCCAGCTAAAATTTTTAAGTGAGGATTACATGGGTTGTTAAGTGAGAACCTCATATAACTGGGACTTCTGATTCCTGCTTGTTTCCTCATTGTGTTTGTTTGATTGGAAGTTGCAATCATGTAGCTGCAATCATGTGATTCTAACCCTAGCTTTTGGGCCAGGCATCCAAAAGCTAGGTTCAGAATCACATGAAAATGGAAACACTGCAATCGTTAGAATTCTCAGAATATATTGTAAATCCTCTAGTTCAGAGAATTCCAACCTTTTGGGCACCAGGGACCACTTCCGTGGAGAGAGTTTTTTCTGCAGCCCGGAGGGTGTGTGGTTTTGTGTGCTGCCTGCATCTCATGGATGGGGCTTTGCTTGTTTGTGCAAACCAGTTGCTGGCTTGCCACGGCCTGGTACTGCTCCACGGACTGCGGGTTGGGGACCCCTGCTCTAGTTCAGTGCCATCACAAGGTAAGGAACACTTAATGTTTGTAAACTCAGGACCACATGTACAAAAATATTTTGTTCAGCAGCAGAGTATTTCAAAATGTATGAGCAAAATATATGTGTACGAACAGGTATCTTTCATGGGTATCTTAATTTTGGCATCCAATGTGCTTATCTAATATTAGAGTTCAGACTCTCTCTCTCTCTCTCTTCATTCTATCTATCATCTATTTCCTGCCTTTATTATTTTACAAATAACTCAAGATACAAACATATCCAATATACCTTCCTCCACCTATGTTCCCCACAACAATAACCCTTTGAGGTGTGTTGGGCTGAGATAGAGTGACTGGCCCAAAGTCACTTAGGTGGCTTTCATTTTGATGAGTTACAATTTATTTAACAATGAATTAAAAGAACTACTATTAGTTGTGATTGCACAACATATTACATCACAATTTAAGATTCACAACCCACAAAAGAGGCTCGTAATCAACAAACTAAACTACAGGCTTACTGACATACTATGTTTCTACAACTGTGACTACACTCACCGAGGTTTAACAAAAGTAATGTTTTGAGTTTAAAAATAATAATGAATTATAAACTAATTATACTGGCTAGGTACACACATTATGTTAGGCTAAGATGTAGTAAGCTAGTACTAGCTCACTGTTGTATCAACAAAGCTATCATGTGAAATCAAGACACTGCTTATATATGAGGCTAGCCACACTTCTGGAATCTGCCTGACAATAAACATTTTAAAGTCTTGCCAAGAAAAGCTTTATGATCCTGAATGATAAATCTGAAAATTGGTAGTTTAATCCAAAAATTATGGAATTGTACTTAAAATAAAAACAGAATCTTCAGGACTGTATCAATAGAAGAGGACTAGGCAAGTGCTAGGCTTATTTTCATGAATGTAAAATATGGATGTCCAACTTTTTGGCTTTCTTGGACTGCATTGAGTAAAGAGGAATTGTCTTGAACATATATAAAATACATAATATGGTAACTATTGCTAAAAATAATATAATAAAATTTTACAATCTTGTAAGGCTGCATTGCCAACTGTCCAGGGGCTACAGATTGGACATACCTGATATAAAACTTGGTTTAAACTGAATAATGTAAGAAAGTAATCTTGAACTTCAACTGTCCAACAACTTATTAGCAAAAGCTTATTTTTGAGGCTTTCGAAATTTGCTTTGGAGAAAAACTCTTGGCACACGTATGTTTTCTTTTTTGTTCGAAGTTTCTCGAAACACATATTCATTGACTATTTCCTCATATCCCTCAGACAGGAAAAGTTCTGCCAAAAACGCTATAGAAAAAGAAGGAAGAATATTTTTAAGAAACTTGTGTTAAAGTACAAAGATGAAATGATACAAATCCTGAATAGGCAGGTTATTCTTCTCAAAACAAAAAATGAGAAACAGTTTTGTTGATGGTTTTAAAAAAAGATATAGGCAGCAATGCAGAAAATGAAGCAACATCCAAAGTCAGATTTTCCTTCCATTTGCCCAAGAAAGCTGCTAAGTATGGATTGTTCCTTTATGATGTACTTAAGATATATCTTTTGAATAACAATCTATCATTAACTACCAATATAATTTTTTTTAATAAAGTAGTATTTGGGAAAACCTGGAGATTATTCAAGGCAGCAGGGCTCAGCTTTGAAGGTATCTCAATAGAAGTTTTTACTGAAATGTGGGCAACTGTCAAATCCCTTTGCCGCTGATTATAAAATAGAAATATCTTTAGTCGTTATAAATAAAATAAAATAACCCACTAGAGATATTTTTTATTTTATAACCCAGCCGCAAAGGGATTTTATTTCATCAGGATTTTATTTATTTATTAAATTTCTAGGCTACCCATCTCCCCTGCAAGGTGACTCTAGGCATCTTACAAATTATTATTATATGAGGCTGCCTTCACATTCCTTTCCTTCTGTCACTGTTTGACGGTCAGAGTCAATAACATTTTTATTTCTCTGAAAAGAAATGGGAGCAGGTTGAGCTACTTGGGGTTTCCCTAGGCACCTGCCCGGCCATGGTCAGCAAGAAGAAGCTTTTTAGTACAAATTAGTTTTTAGTATAATTTAGTCCACTGTTTCTCAATCTCAGCAACTTTCAGATATGTGGACTTCAAATCCCATTCGTCTGAGAGTTGGAATCAGCATATCTGAAATTTGCAAAGATTGAGAAACGCTGATTTAGTCAGACTCTCATTGCTTTCAAGAATACAAGGAAGTATTATCTTAGGAAGAAATCCTTAAATCCCAAATTGCTGAAATTGGATATAAAAGGAATGTTGGAGGACATACAGTTTCTTTAGGTTTATACTTTATAGTGACTATTATTAAATTTGGAGTTACACAAACTTACACTAGAAAAGGATTATATACATATCAAAATGAATGTTAACAGTTATTAAATAACATTCTGATGTTGAGGCTGCTATTTGCAGCTTTTTGATGTTTAAACATATCTAGCTTCCTTTATTGTTGAACAAATGATTTTTTTCCCCATCAGTATGCTTGTACTGTAGAAAACCTTTCAGTTCAAATACCTGGGGATTATTTATAGATTACTATAAATACACTGTATTTTTGTTCTGACAGATTTTTGTTTTGTAAACTTTTCCCGCTTTTCAGTATTTGTTGGGTGCTTCCCATGCTGATATCTATATTGTATAGTATCTTAATTAAGATCTCACCATCAGAAAAAAAGTATGACCTGGTTCCATCTTGTCGTACGTAGAAGTTTTCTCCCAGCTTGCAAGCAGATTTAAACCTCAGCATTGCATGGTCATGAAGGCCATAATCTCTGAATAGGACATATTTACCTGGTTTTAAAACCTAAGAACAATATGAAACATATTATACTCGACTTAATTAATACACACAAAACCATGTAATGATAAAAGTGGAACATTTTGTGCCACTTTAGCTCGGTCCTGTTAAGCAGATTTGACACAATTTCATTTCATTATAAAAGAGTTTTAAAATTTTGACTTTTACTCAAAATATCATTCCATGTTAATTATAATAACACTAGAAAATTAATTCCATAGTTGTCATAAAACACATTTCATAGCTTAAATCAGTTTCCATTATTTGCTTGAACCTGGGAATAACCACCTTAGTTTGCATTTAAGACATTCTGAGTCATATTCCTGGGAATTAATCCACTTTCTACTTATTACAAGATAGAAAAATACACCAAGTGTTGTTCCTGAAGCAAAGTATATGTAATCCTCAGTTAACGACTGCCCTATTTAGCAAGTGTTTGAAGTTAGACAGCACTGAAAAGTCACTTTTTGACCAGTCCTCGACCACTGCAGCATCCATGGTCACGTAATTGCCATTTGTCAGAGAGCTTCTGACAAGCAAGTCAACATGTAAACTGGCAGAAAAATCACATGTCACAATCACTGGATGTCTCGCTTAACTACCATATCACTTACTAATGTAATTGCCAGTCCAATTATAGTCATTAAGCAAGGTTCATCTGTATGAATTACCTTTCTATTAAATCTTATTTGGAAAAGACAAACCTGATACAGCATTCCTTTTACTTCAGACTATTTATAGCTTCCTTTAGTCCTCGCAGATAAATACACAAACAATAAAGACCATCTCTTTGAAAGTTGCTGCAAGTCTGAATCATACAAGGATTGCTGACATATAAAATGTATTGTGTAAATTAGAGCGCAGATTCTGTATTACATCTTTTCATAGCAGAAATACATGCTCATGGTAAAAACCATGTTATTATAGCCATGCAGACTTGCCTTATAAATATTGTGCAAAACTAAACACATCTTCTCAGGATGAATGGCAGAAAGTACAAATATTAACATAACCACATCCACCGACTCTAATGGTACATTTTCCACAAGATCATCTTTGGTCAGGTCACACAGGAATACTTTGCATCTTTTGGCATCATATAGAGAATTTTGCTGTGAAATGAACATATGGTACAACCTTATCTAAGTTTATATTTTGAAACCTGAAGCTAGCACAGTAAATCATACAGAAGGATAGAACACTGAATAATACAGAATAGCTTGGCTATCTTGGGAATTCTGGGAGCTGAAATCTGTCTACTTACAGTTGCCAAGTTTAGAAAATACTGGTTTAGATAGTGGATATTTTGAAACTGTTTATTATAATCTCCCTCAGTGTTGAACTGAAGACAACCAAGCAGAAAAGCAGGTAATTAAATATGAATCACAACCTTTCCCACGCTAGTATCTTTAGGTCACCTTTTCAGTTTCAGAAACTTTAAAATGCATGGACTTCAAATCCACACTTCTTAAAATTGCTGACATTATTTTGTTTATGTACATTCAGAAGAAATGTTTCACCTCGTTATAAAACAGAAAAAGCAGACCTGATTATTAATATTATACATAAAATTGTACATATGTATTTCTTCCAGCATTAGGGTATGGATCTTTTATTGTATTGTGTAATTGTTTTTACTATAGTGATTCAGCATCATAAGTGGTCTTACAAATTTTTAAAATAAGTAATTTAGATGCTGTTTCATAATCTTCTGAGTAATATTTAACCGCTAAGCATAAAACTCAAATTCCAGGCTAAGATAATTTAAACCAATTTAATGATATCAAAACAATGCCATTTTTGCTTTTTCATTTCTTTTTAAAGAAGCTTATATTTCAAATGTATGTATTCACTTAATGGAAGAAAAAAATGACAAATATTTTACAAACCTTTACATATTCCACTGCTCGGGGAGAGAAGTCACAGGCATAAGCAAAAACATTCAAATCTTCTTCTAGAAGTGGAAATAAACAGTTCCCAACACCACAACCGGCTTCTAGAATTGTCAATTTTTGATCTTCAAACTGAAGAGGTGAGAAAATAATAATTGTAATTGTCTGATCCTTTCAAATAGCATGAATTAATTTTTGGACTAACATCATTAGCTTTTAAAATCAAAGTTATTATAGCAAATCTCCATTTACTGGATCCCACACAATAGATTATTATCACCACAAAGATGTATTTCCAGATTAATGAACGAAAATAAAAGGTTTGATTGTACTCCCATTAAATAGTGGTTTTATGGCAAAGCAAGAAAACCTTCATTTAAAAGCAAATAAAACTAACACCGATTGTGATTCAAGTCATACAATTTATACAAATGTTGCATCTTAATACATACAACAGATGGAATCATCTTCTAGTGAATCAGAAGCATAAGATCAGTCAAAGATAGTTTCTTGAAATTAAAGATATAAAACAGAATTCATGATACTTTTTGTATTCTATATGAAAATGAGTTATAACTTAATTATGGAAGTTACTTTATCAAGAAACTGGACAAAATTGCCCAGAATCCATCTAATTCTTTTGCTATGTCGCTCTTGAATAGAGACCAACATTACCACTTAGCTGATCCTTACTGTTTCTGATAGTGACAAAATACTAAGAATATAGTTCAGGAACTCCATTTGTTCACTAAATGGATACTTGTTTCATACAGCACAACTCCACTCACATCTTTTGGGAATTGGGACCAGATTCACCTCTGGAAAAATGAATCATCTTCAATCAAATTGATTGAAAAAGATAAAATTGCAACTTTTCTGAATTCTACAATCATAATTCCACTCATGATTTATAATAATGATATCTCTTGTTGCTGCAGGTGTGAAGAGCATGGAGCCCTCTGGATGTTACTGAACGAGATCTCCCAACTATTCTATTTTGTGTGACAAATTGGTGAGGATGGTAGGATTTCCAATTTGTCAACAGCTGGAGAACTGATAGCTTCCCAATTCAGCTTTAGAAATTCAGGATACAATATATGTAGCAGTTCTCATCCAACATTATAGATTTTTATTATTTGATAGCATTTCCAGCTTAATGCTCTCTGAGAATCACAACTACATCCCCAGATGTCCAATTATAAATAATTTTCCTAAAATAAAGTTTAGTAGTCATCTTGATAGGAAAAGAATTATTCTCCATCATTGTAATTTTTTTCTATGTTTCTATTTTTACAGTCTTATATTGCAGATGATAGACATGGTCACTACTATTGTTTGGCATAAATCAAGCATCTTTAAATTAAGTTGTATCATTTTGTTTTATAATTCTATGACCTGTTATTTTTCCAAGGGTATGAATAATTAAATCCTAAAATATGTATATGTAGTAAAAGTTTCTTTGTAGAGCAAGGAACTGATTGTCAATATTAAAATTTCCATCTCAAATTTTATCATGGAATCTGCAAAACAAGCATACTGTACCAGTCTAGCCTGAATTTTACAGAATGCATAACATAATAAGATCAGCTTTCAATTCAGAGATTTTTCTATAGCAGTTCTTTATTGCCCTCTGGTGCCAGAAAATGTGAAACTCACTTTACGGCAGGCTTTTAATTCTTCAAACTCTCTTGTTGTCCAGTGTCTGTCCTTAAAAAAATTGGTACTGTTCCTTTTGTAGAATAGATCCCAGTTCTTTTGTGCTTCTTTCTCAAGTTTCTGCTTCTTGAAATCAGATACTAAGACCTGATTTTGAGCTAATTGTTTTGCTTCTTCAGGACCTAGAATTCTTGTCTTCTGCTCTGTTTTTTGGAAAGACTCATCTTCACAAGCAATTATTACCTCATCAGTATGTGGAATAGATGAGTGACTTTTCAGAATTTCCGATTTAATCATCTTAATTACTGGACATAGCAGATTCAAAGCTGCATTAATCCTTAATTAAATAATTGCCCATATCACATATCATGCAAGAACTAGATGCAAAAACACAATAAAGTAAGGTTACTATTTCGCAATTTTATCTGGGTATGTTGACAATAGATCATTTCTCTTACTTTCAACTTCTAAAAGCACACTTTAATTAATCTATTAAGAGCATGCTCTGCATGCACTGGCAGGTCACAAAGAGAAATAATGTAACCAGTTAACAGTTCTTCATTACAGTACATTACAGTACAGTACAAATATTAATTTGATTTTTATGGCACCTTAAGCCCAGATGTAATTTGACTTTAGTTTGATGTGTAAACCCAACCACAACTTAATTAATGCCACAATTTATTTGTTGGATGGGTTTATAACACACACTAACCCATTAGTCAATAACTGATTGCCCCAAAACCATAATAGAATTTATTCTTCCATTTACTCTTCCCTCAGTAAACCATATGATACATATAGCAAACCAAGAAGTAGGTTCAATAGCACAAAAAGCCATACCAGCTTAAGCTGGATTTGTAAAACATGCATAACAGAACCCTAAACTAAAAACATAGGCTGGATTGATGTTATAAATATTATTGGCTGGTTTATCATACAAATACAATTTTAGTGTAGTATTCAATCTTATTACAGAGCTATGAAGAGCTACGACTCTCCATCCTAATCACAATTTGAGACAATGGCTTGCTATGTACCACCAAATACCAGAAGGCTCAGTTTGATCATGGTTATTGGGAATTCTAGAACTGGTTTCAATTCACATAGAAGGGGTCAAGCTGCAGAAGAATGATCTAGACCAGTGTTTCTTAAACTTTTTTCTCTCAGGACTTCATATCATATTACTTTTAAAAATTATAGAGGATACCCAAACAGCTTTTATTTGTATGGGTTATATTTATCAATATTTATTAAAACAATGCCGCTACCACTTCTCGTAGCTGTTATTGTATTGTTTTTCAACATAGGCTGAGAATAATTTTGAATCTGAGGATGCCTGAGATGGCCTAGGGCAGGGATAGGCATGGCTGGCTCAGGAATTCTGGGAATTGAAGTCCACAAGAGCCAAGGTTGCCTACCCCTGGCCTAAAGGAACCGCCAGGGTCCACACATACTGATCTAAACAATCCTAAACTAGATAAACTATTAATCTGACTGCATTTGGTTGAGTTATTCTGGGCTCAGAAGCAGAGGCAGTCCTTCAAAGGGAGGCCTCTATGTTAGTTCTGGGTAGAGACTACCAGTCTAGACCAGGTCTTTTCAACCAGTGGTACGGGTGCCATCTGTGGTACATTGGCACCTGGCAGGTGGTACGTGACCATCCTAGAAAAGTAGCGGGGGAGGAGAATGAGCTGAACCGGTGGCAATACTGCACAAGCCTGAGCAAGAGATGGCTGGAGCTGCAAGGCTGTCAGGGCTCAGCGGAAGCGCCAGGATCAGTGCCGCTTTCCAGCTGATTGGCGCTTCGGGGCTGTCAGGACTCAGTGGAAGCACCAGGATCAGCGCCAGGCTCCAGCTGGAAAGCAGCACTGATCCTGGCGCTTCTGCTGAGCCCAGAAGAAGCGCCGATCAACTGGAATGTTGCAGCATCTCCAGGGTTTTGTGATTTACATTCAGATGCTTGGCAACTGATTCATATTTATGATGGTCACAGTGTCACAGGGTCATGTGAAGTGATCAAAACCTGTTGCAACCACCCAGCAGATGGGGGGAATAAAAACCAAACAACCCCCAACCCCACTGCCAATCCTCAACAGAAATGCTCACAACAATGAAAATCTCGGACAGGAGGAAGAGCGCCGCCAGGCAGATGTCTTGCTCGGCTGTGGCTTGGGGGGCACTTTTTTCAGGGCCATTGTAACTTTAAACAGTCACTAAGTGAACTGTTGTAAGTCAAGGACTATATCACTTTTTTCCTCTTTTTTTGGTCAAGTTTTTGACACCTTGCTAGGCGACTGGTGGTACTCGGATGTTGCCATATCCTAAAAGTGGTACAATGGGTGAAAACGTTGAAAAGCCCTGGTCCAGACTACAGGTACTCAACAATTTACATAGTTGAGCTGAAAATTTCTGTTGCTAAATGAGGCACTTACATTAGTTTTGCCCTGTTTTATTACTTTTCTTGCGACAATTATTAAGTGAGTCATTTCAGTCCTTAAGTTAGTAACATGGTTAAGGGAATCTGGGTTCCCCATTGATTTTGCTTGTCAGAAAGTTGCAAAAGGTGATCACATGACCCTGGAACACTGCAACCTTCATAAATATGAGTTGCCAAGTGTCTGAATTTTGCTCACATAACTGTGGGGATGCTGCAATGGTCGTAAGTGTAAAAAACAATAAGAAGTCACTTTTTTCAGTGCCATTTTAACTTCAAATGGTTACTAAAACGACTGTTTTAAGTCAAGGACTACAAATACCAACATTTTGAAAAAAGGCAATAACCAACCACTTACGTTCTGTAGCCAAAACAAGAATTCAAAGATCAATCTGAAGTTACCAAGAGACGAATTCTCCTGGTAGGAACCTTCACCTGTTTTTTGCTTAAAATCAATTAAATAGAAAAACTATTAATCTGACAGCACCTCAATACACCTTTTTACACTCCTGTTTTCCAAGAAAACAAAACATACAAGTATCCTAAGGTGATCGATTTTTGTTCAGCTCCGAGGAAGGGCGTATCAGGCAGAAAGATCCAATTAGGGATCTGGATTAAATTTCCGCGTCCTGAGGGTTGCTATCAATTCAAGAACCCTTTGCGGATCGGGCCAAATGCAACAGTCTCATGCGGTGGTAGGCTTTCCCTAGTGTTTTCTTTCTTTCTTTCTTTCTTTCTTTCTTTCTACCTACCTACCTACCTACCTGTTTGGGGCCGGTAAGGCCTCCCTCGTCCCGCCACCCGCACACCCTTCTTCCCCGTCAAAAGTTTCCCGGATCTCCCTGCCCAAAAACCACGAGGACGCCTTACGCTACTGCCAAGCCGCGTGGTCCCCTCTCGATCGGCTCCCCCGGACGGGGAGCGTTTTCCCAGTTGCACGCTGCTCCGATCCCGGAAGAGAAGGCGGCCAGGCGGGGCGGGGCGGCTGCGGGTGTTCTTGTTCTCGGCGGGCGCCGCAGTAGCCATGAACGGCGTGGCGAACCCGCTGCTGGACAAGGAGGAGCACCCTCTGCAGCTGGGCGAAAGCTTCGAGCGGCACCCTAAAGCCTCCTTCCACACCATTCGCTGTGAGTGCCCGGCAGAGGCGGCGCTTACGGGCCAGGCCGGCGACCCCCAAAGCATCGGCTTGATTAAGCTGGCTTGGCCCCGTGTCAAAAGAGGGCCCTAACCGCGCTAGCCTATGGCTGCCTAACCGAAAATTGAGTTCAGGGTGACTTACTCCCAGGTAAGTGGGTAGAGCAGCCTTCCCCAGCCTGGTCCACTCCTAAGGTTTGGATTACAACCTCCCATCATCCTCAGCCAAGCGGTAGCCGCGTGCTGGGGTTTACCTGGGAGCGCACTATGTTGGGGTAGGCATACCTACACTTCTGTGGGAGTAAGCCCAATTGAACTCGCTTTCTGATACAAGGTTGATTTTAGTATTTAGAGAATTGTTTGCTTGCTTGCTTGCTTATTAGATTTATGTCCTTGCCCATCTCGTCTAAAGGTGACTCTAGGCAGCTTACAATAAATAAAATAAATATTAACACTAACATTTATTTAAATTGATAAAGATGGGAAGGAAAGTTAACAGATGTACACAGGGAGGAGATGGGGGTCTTACCTCATTAACCGCCTCCAGAATGACACGTTGGAGCCCAGATCAGTTGTCAGAGCCAGGTTTTCAGGCCCTTTCCAAAGGCCAAAGGGATGGGTGCAGATCTCACCTGGGGGTGGGGCTAATGTTCTAGAGATTTTAATAGCTAATTTCCACAAAAAGGCTTAATAGGGTTGGATAGTTTGTGGATCCCTCTGTTGTGAGAATTGAGCCAATTGTATTCTTGTGGTAATGAGGCCACTATGTTAAACCACAATATGGTTGATTTAGAGCAGTGGTGGCGAACCTATGGCACGGGTGCCAGAGGCGGCACTCAGAGCCCTCTCTGTGGGCACGCGCGCATCGCCCCAGTCCTAGGCCTTCAGCTGGGTTTTATAAAACCTTTTCGCTTTAGGCCTCCACCACTGTGTGCAAAAAAAAAAAAAAAAAGGGTTCAATCAATCAGTCAATTTCAACTTCTTACGGGAAAAAAAAAGATCTTGCAAAGTTGGAATTGATTGATTGAACTTTTTAGTCCCACCCAGTCTGCCGTTACCACCGCAGCCACGCCCAGCCAATGGGCCACACCCATCTAATGAGCCACGCCCAGCCAGTGGGCCACACCCACCCGGCACCCAACGATGCATAAGTGGGTTTTGGGTTGCAGTTTGGGCACTCGGTCTCTAAAAGGTTCGCCATCACTGATTTAGAGTAATATATTTTAAAAAAACATACCCTTTCAAAACATTCTGGACAAATGTGTGATGTGAATGTAGCAGTTGTTTTTATTTACTTAGGTTTAGTGTGCTGTGTGACTCTAAGTTAGGGGTGTTAAACTGCCGGCCCGCCGGTTGCATCATGTGGAGGCTGCACCCACCCCAGCTCCCGCAATGGTGGCAATACATCACAACACAGTCACGTGACTCAGCAAGTTTGACACCCGTAATCTAAGTGATGTGGTTAATTGACAGTTTAGTATTATGCAAACCCAGGCAATTAGATTAAATCAGTTAACCATGATTGTTAGTTATGGATTAGCATTTTAGGCAAATCTAGCCCTACTTTATCTGTCCCTTCTGTAAAGAGTTTCACCTCTAGACATTTAGTTGCTGAGATTTTTCCTAACCAGAAAAATAAATGAGGAAAACTTCATTTCCTCAGTTTCCAAGCATAAAAGGAATTTATGCAATTTTCAGTTTCATTTTCCAATTCCTCACCAATAAGTTTGAAGCGTATGAGTGAGCTGCTCAGTTAAAAAGAAATGAAAACTAGCAACGAATACCACAAGCCAATCAGTTTTCCCTCCAGATGTTCAACAGAAGAGATTCAAAAAGTGGGACTCCTCCTATATCCCACCTTCTGAATTGCCAATGCCTCTATAGCAGTGGTGGCGAACCTTTTAGAGACCGAGTGCCCAAACTGCAACCCAAAACCCACTTATTTATCTCTGGGTGCCAGGTGGGCGTGCCCCACTAGGTGGGTGTGGCTGTGGTCATGGCAGACTGGGTGTGGCCAAGGTGGGTGTGGTCTCCCCGATGTTGCTCGGGGGAGAGACACCTGTGGGGGCCGGGCAGGGTTGGGGGAGATCCAGGGGCTCTCTGGCAGGTTTGGCGGTGGGCAGGAGGCTCGTCCTGCGGGGTGAGGCGAGGTAAGGCAGGGGTGCCATTGTCGCAGGGCAAGGCGAGGCAGGGGCTGGGGCGGCTGCTGCCTGACACCATCGGCCCACACACACAGAGGCCAGCGAGCACACGGGGGCTGACTGTCCGTCAGCAGCCACAGCCTGCCAGCCCCTCAACCGGCGCACTCGGGGGCTCCGCAGCCCACCACCAGCACTTCAGAGAAGCCGCTTCTGAGCTGGATGGCTGGCCAACAGCTGAGGAGGCGATGCAGTGGGTCGTGCCCAGGAAAAGGAGCGTATGCGAGGCCAGGAGGGATGGGACGGGGGGGGAGGGAAACCAGCCATGCTGGGATGCATCTGGGCACATGGCACCTTGGCAATTTAGCGGGCAGCTGGTTGAAGAGGGACGATTGCCATCTCCAGGGCATAGCACGCATGCCCACAGAGAGGGTTCTGAGTGCCACCTCTGGCACGTATGCCATAGGTTCGCCACCACTGCTCTATAGTGACAAAAATCATTTCAATTAATATTCCATGCAGAAAGGAGAAAAAATATTCTCTCTCACCACCATCTGTGGTTTAATTACATGTTAAGTACATACTTGCCATTTGTGCTGAAAATTCTTATGAGACAAACACCCCCCTGCTGTTGATGCTCAGTTTCTTCTATTTGTGTTAAAAGCCTCTGCTATCTATCTGTACAGAATCTGTAAACATGATTATAGATTGTAATGTACAGCAGACCATCCATCCAGTGATAGGCAGGGGCCATGCTTGAGGCCAAAGGTGAGTGAACTAAACATTTCATGAAGGCTGCTTATTGGACAGTTGTTTTATGGAGATCTTGAAACTGACCAGGAAGGAAGCATTTGCAAATCATTTCCATAATCATGCTTAAAAGGCCTGCAGTAATCTTAACTCCAGATGGTTTTTAATTTGCTTCTGTTCCTTCTCTAGCATACATTGAGCAAGAGTTTGCTTGCACCCAGAAAAAGTGTGGTGACATAAAAGCAAAGCCAATTTTAAAAAGCTGCCCACAAACTCCAGTACTGCAAAAAAGAAAGAAAGAAAGAAAGAAGGAAGGAAGGAAGGAAGGAAGGAAGGAAGGAAGGAAGGAAAAAAAGAAAGAAAGAAAGAAAGAAAGAAAGAAAGAGAAAGAAGCAAGCTTATTGTAGGGCTGAGTTAGAAGAGTTTTTAACTCAGCCCTACATAGCCCTGATTTCATTAGATCCATAATCCAGGATTTCTACAAAAGGTATATCTGGAGGGATCTTCAAACAAGAACTCAATTTCTGAGGCAGTTTACAATTATTTTGAGTATCATCACATAAGAAATATAACATGGCCCAGAGGACAGATTTTGCATAACAGGCAAATGACATATGTGGGCATTCATGTGTAATAAATACTCGCCTCTCTAATTATTCTATTAAAACCAAATTTTATTATATAATTATATAATTATATATTGCATAATGTCATGTCATATCCAGAGACTTGATTTGAAATAAGAATACCCATATATGTGCTGTCTTGAGCTCTCAGAGAAAATGTCAAGATAAAAATTATAAATACGTTTTAGGACATTGATTAATATCTGTTTGGAGCACCAGTAAAGAATTGTGCCTTTTGTGGTTGCTGTCAGTGCAAAATGTGCATCCAGTTGTCACCTCAGGCTGCAAATAGTAGACTGCATATTATGCTTATTATATATAATGGTGGTTGTATTACATCAAGTTACTATTAAAGGAATATGCCAGGCCTATGCTGACAATCATTCTTGGAATTATTGAAAAGACAAGGACTACAATAGAAACCTTTTGTTTCATAGCTAGAATCAGTGTTTGTTGCATTCTTAATAATTTTTTGTGCTCCCAAAGTAAGGTAGAGAGTATTATCTGAAAATAATAATTTCTAGAAAAAAGTTGGTTCAGTTGGCCACTTATAGAGTTGCCATTTAAAACAAAAACTGGCCTTATAAATGGACTTCAAAAAAAAAAAAGATGGGTCAAGAAAATTTTAAAAAATTAAGGCTTTTCATTTTTATTTTTTTATAGCAGATAATAGCTTTTTGAAAAAATGAAGTATGCTGTGTTAGAATTTTTTGTGTTATTGGCTAACAAAGAATGGCAGACCTAATTGCAGAAGAACATTATAATTTGGTAATTCAATTTAATTCCTGTCTGCACATTCACTCTACTAAGCTGGCTCCAAAATTATTTGAATGCCAATGAAAACAATAAAATAAAATTAAAGTAGTAATGAGATTGTTTCTAAATAAATACTCATCAAGCATCCTTTATAATCTGATGTATGTTTAATATCAGTTATTGTATCCTCTAGATGATTTTAAACCAGCATCTATAGATACGTCTTGTGAAGGCGAGCTTCAAGTTGGTAAAGGAGATGAAGTCACAATTACATTACCACATATTCCTGTAAGTTTCCCATATCTCACATAGCAGATTTGCTTTCTGTGTCAAGGTTCTTATAAGCTTTGCTCTGAACTTTTCATATGTAGCCAAGGGGAACATGATATATTTCATAAAAACAATTTGTGGGAACTCAGACTTGCTTAAGAAAACACCATTTTTAACAACTGTCTGTTGAATATGCTGTGCATGCTTTGAGAAAGATTGCAAAGAAATACTTTGGCCTGAGTATAAATACTATAGTCTATAAATAACTTTTTACTATATCATTGAAATAAGCACTTCTGATTTCCAGGCAAGCTTGAAGAAAGATGCTGCTGCATTAGTTTAATGCATCTTTATATAGGGCTTACAGTATTTTTTTCAGGTTTGTGTGGAATCTATATAAAGATTAGTGTGTGTGCTTGTGAGATTTGTAACACTCTGATGCTTCAGAGCATACACACCTGCAATAATCAACCTGAGACAAATATGTCTGAATCCTTTTTAGTTTCTGGCAACTTTCTATATAGATATTATATTTAAAATATTGGATCATTGTTTTCATTGCCTAATATTATTTTGACTATGTATGAATCCTAATGTGCATTGAAGGATTCATAAAATAATACTTCTGAATTCTCTAGAACTACAGTGAGGGAAAAAAGTATTTGATCCGCTGCTGATTTTGTACGTTTGCCCACTGACAAAAAATTGATCAGTCTATAATTTTAATGGTAGGTTTATTTTAACAGTGAGAGACAGAATAACAACACAAAATCCAGAAAAACGCATTTAAAAAAAGTTATAAATTGATTTGCATTTTAATGAGTGAAATAAGTATTTGACCCCTTCACAAAACATGACTTAGTACTTGTTGGCAAAATCCTTGTTGGCAGTCACAGAAGTCAGATGTTTCTTGTAGTTGGCCACCAGGTTTGCACACATCTCAGGAGGGATTTTATCCCACTCCTCTTTGCAGTTCCTCTCCAAGTCATTAAGGTTTCAAGGCTGACGTCTGGCAGCTTGAACCTTCAGCTCCCTCCACAGATTTTCTATGGGATTAAGGTCTGGAGACTGGCTAGGCTACTCCAGGACCTTAATGTACTTCTTCTTGAGCCACTCCTTTGTTGCCTTGGCCGTGTGTTTTGGGTCATTGCCATACTGGAATCCATGACCCATTTTCAATGCCCTGACTGAGGGAAGGAGGTTCTCACCCAAGATTTGACGGTACATGGCCCAGTCCATCGTCCCTTTGATGTGGTGAAGTTGTTCTGTCCCCTTAGCAGAAAAACACCCCCAAAGCATAATATTTCCACCTCCATGTTTGATGGTGGGGATGGTATTCTTGGGTCATAAGCAGCATTCCTCCTCCAAACACAGTGAGATGAGTTGATGCCAAAGAGCTCGATTTTGGTCTCATCTGACTACAACACTTTCACCCAGTTCTCTGAATCATTCAGATGTTCATTGGCAAACTTCAGGCCTGTACATGTGCTTCTTGAGCAGGAGGACTTAGCAGGCACTGCAGGATTTCAGTCCTTCATGGCGTAGAGTGTTACCTATTGTTTTCTTGGTGATTGTGGTCCCAGCTGCCTTGAGATCATTGACAAGATCCTCCCGTGTAGTTCTGGGATGATACCTCACTGCTCTCAAGATGATTGAAACTCCACGAGGTGAGATTTTGCATGGAGCCCCAGAGCAATGAAGATTGACAGTTATTTTGTGTTTCTTCCATTTGCGAATAATCGCACGAACTGTTGTCACCTTCTCACCAAGCTGCTTGACGATAGTCTTGTAACCCATTCTAGCCTTGTGTAGGCCTACAATCTTATCCCTGACATCCTTGGACAGCTCTTTGGTCTTGGCCAAGGTGGAGAGTTTGGAATCTGATTGATTGCTTCAGTGGACAGGCGTCCTTTATACAGGTAACAAGCTGAGATTAGGAGCACTCCCTTTAAGAGAGTGCTCCTAATCTCAGCTTGTTACCTGTATAAAAGACACCTGGGAGCCAGAAATCTTGCTGATTGATGGGGGATCAAATATTTATTTCACTCAATAAAATGCAAATCAATTTATAACTTTTTTGAAATGCATTTTTCTGGATTTTTTTGTTATTCTTTCTCTCACTGTTAAAATAAACCTACCACTAAAATTATAGACTGATCGTTTCTTTGATAGTAGGCAAATGTACAAAATCAGCAGAGGACCAAATAATTTTTCTCCTCGCTGTATGTTAAATTCTGTAAATCTATTGATATTGAATATAAATAATATTGATGATATATTTGTTCCAGATATTGAATCATAACTAAACTTTCTGTTTGATTTCTTTATAAATTATATTCTTAACTATAAATAAAATATTTTGTTGCATCGCCTATCTGCATAGCGATAGAATATTTAATATGGTGTTTATAGTCACAAAGTTAGCCATATCAGTCTGCTGTAGCAAAATCAGCAAATGTTTCTCTACTGGTTTATGACCATTGTCTCTTCTAATTTCAGATGTTTCTTCTTTGTAGCAGGCGTAGTATACAGACAATTTTTCTTTGGAAAATTAGCAAATGAATAAATCATTTTTGTAAATAGCAAGTTCTATATACTAATTTTGCCAAAGTATATATGATTTCTTTCTTGCATCTAAAAATATAGCAATGACTATCATAGAACAAAATGTTAAGAAAATACAGATTAAAGCATAATCTTCTGAGTTGGATTTGAGACATTGATTATGCTATTTATTATATCTGTTTTTCTTACATATGCATAACTACTTGTTTAGATTTAAATATATTTTTTACTTTTCTTGAATATCAGGGTTCTACGCCTCCAATGACTGTATTCAAAGGAAACAAAAGGCCTTACCAAAAAGATTGTGTACTTATTATCAACCATGATACTGGGGAATATGTGCTTGAAAAGCTAAGCAGCAGCATCCAAGTCAAAAAGACAAGGTAACACAGGCTCAAACATGTGAGGCCAATATGGATCAGCATATAGTATAATTCTTTCTGAAATAACTGTTCTTCTATCACCTGCTTTTATCTTGACTATATAAAATAATAAACATTAAATATCAGAATGGTGGAAAGAAAACTAGTCTAGTACATAGCCTGTAACCTCCATTCTTAAATGAAATGGCTATTCCAAGTATATCCAATATGCTTTCTCTCCATATTAGAACTTTAATCATCACTGATCTTATCAGTCATTAATAAAGTTAGCAGCAGGGATGACCTAGGTGATATTTTAAATTTTTAAAAATTAATTCTTGGGAAAGTTTAGCTAGTACTTAATTTTCCTTCTTCAGTTGAAAGAATGGGTATTTAGCAGTTCCATAAATGGTACATTGGTATTATTTATTTACACAATTCTAATTTAAGATTTATTAAGATCAGAGAAAATGAGAGAATAGAACTTAGATTTTATTTATTTGTTTGTCTGTTTATATTTCATATTTCTAAGCTGCCCATTTCTCTCAAAGACTGTACCAATCCTAATTCCATAATTCCCCCAAGCTATGAAGAAGGATTAGAATTGGAAGAACTCTGCATAGCCACAAAGGAGAAGCAATATGAGGGAACAGAAGTAGGAAAAGCGGACCCAATTACTCTTACAGAAATCTCCACACACACAAATTCACCACTAGTTGTATTTTAATTATAACTTGCAGAATAGCCAACAAAATCAACAATTTTGGAACAGGCAGGAGTTGGGCAGAGACAGCCTTATTAGATATATTAGCTATAAAGGTTCTTTGTCTGAAAGGGAGGACCCAAGATTATACTGGACTTCTTTCCTATATGAAAACAAGAGTAAGGGTTTCTTAAAATAAATAATGTGACTCAAAATAAATTAAGTTTATGATAAGGTATGGAAAGCAATTACATATTATACATGTTATCTGTTTTAATATTTCCTTTCAGAGCTGAAGGCAGCAGTAAAATCCAAGCACGGATAGAACAGCAATCTGCTCGAGCTGCACAATCTTCCACCCAGTTCAGAGCTCCAATAAAGCCTGCAGCTGGACCTAAAACATCCCCACTGAAAGACAATCCTTCACCAGAGCCTCAATTGGATGATATTAAGAGAGGTAGAACACTTATTATAGCCTGCCTACTATCTGAGATGGGAAGAAAATCTATTACTCCCCCCTGTAAGTTTTCTTCAGTATATTTTTCCAATGGCAGGAGTACAGCTTATAACATTCACCAGCCAGTCACCTCACAATTATACTAGTTGAAACCAAATGTAATTTAATTAAAATTACATTTAATTAAATTACATTTAATTTAATTAAAATTGCATTCTTTGACCAAGTGACAAAATTTGTGGATCAAAGGAATGCTGTGGATATAATTTACTTGGACTTCAGTAAGGCATTTGATAAAATAGATCACAACCTACTACTCGCTAAGATAGAAAAATGTGGGTTAGACAGCATCACCAAAAGATGGATTTGTCGCTGGCTGATCGGCCGTACTCAGCGTGTGGTCCTCAATGGAACTGCATCTACATGGAGGGGAGTGTGTAGTGGGGTGCCCCAGGGCTCTGTTCGGGGCCCAGTGCTCTTCAACATCTTCATCAATGATTTGGATGAGATGATAGATAGGGAACTCATCAGATTAGTAAACAACACCAAGCTGGCAGGAATAGCCAACACTCCAGAAGACAGGCTTAGGATACAGGAGGACCTGGACAGACTTGAACACTGGGCGCTATCTAACAAAATTAAATTCAATGATGAAAAAAGTAAGGTTCTACATTTAGGCAAGAAAAACCAAATGTACAGGTATAGTATAGGGGGTACCTTGCTCAATAGTAGTAACTGTGAGAGGGATCTCGGAGTCCTAGTGGATAATCACTTAAATATGAGCCAGCAGTGTGCTGCAGCTGCCAAAAAAGCCAATACAGTGCTAGGCTGCATTAACACAGGGATAGAATCAAGATCACGTGAAGTATTAATACCACTTTACAATGCCTTGGTAAGGCCACACTTGGAATACTGCATCCAGTTTTGGTCACCACGAAGTAAAAAAGATGCTGAGACTCTAGAAAGAGTACAGAGAAGAGCAACAAAGATGATTAGGGGACTGGAAGCTAAAACATATAAGGAACAGTTGCTGGAATTGGGTATGTCTAGTTTAACGAAAAGAAGGACGAGGGGGGACATGATAGCAGTGTTCCAATATCTCAGGGACTGCCACAAAGAAGAGGGAGTCAAGCTATTCTTCAAGGCGCCTGAAGGCAGGACAAGAAGCAACGGATGGAAACTGATCAAGGAGAGAAGCAACTTAGAACTAAGGAGAAACTTCCTGACAATTAGAACAATTAACCAATGGAACAACCTGCCTCCAGAAGCGGTGAATGCCCCAACACTGGAAGTTTTTAAGAAGAGACTGGACAGCCATTTGTCCGAAATGGTGTAGGGCAGTGGAGGCGAACCTATGGCATGCGTGCCAGAGGCGGCACGCAGAGCCCTCTCTGTGGGCACACAGGCCATGCCCTGGAGATGGCAACCGTCCCTCTTCAACCAGCTGCGCGCTAATTCACCAAGGTTCCACATGGCCGGATGCATCCCATGCACTCGCTGGCCTCTGTCTGGTCGATGGTGTCAGGCAGCCGCCGCCCCTGCCACACCTTGCCCTGTGACAATGGCACCCCCGCACTGCCTCGCCTCACTCCACAGGATGAGCCTCCTGCCCACCTCCCCACCTGGCAGAGACCCCCTGGATCTCCCCCAACCCTGCCTGGCCCCACAGGTGTCCCTTCCCATGAGCAACATCAAGGTGATCAAGCCCACCTTGGCCACTCCCATCCAATCTGCCAGGACCACCACAGCCATGCCCACCCAGCAGGCCACCCCCACCTAGCACCCGGCAAAAATAAGTGGGTTTTGGGTTGCAGTTTGGGCACTCGGTCTCTAAAAGGTTCGCCATCACTGGTGTAGGGTTCCTGCCTGAGCAGGGGGTTGGATTCAATGACCTCCAAGGTCCCTTCCAACATCATCATCATCATTATTATTATTATTACTACTACTACTACTACTACTACTACTACTACTACTACTACTACTACTATAAAACTGTTGCATCTTTTAAAACCATGGACTATCTGGGGTGGGCTAAATAATTGAGAGCCAGTGGGGCATTATATTTAAGTTAAAATTAGAATTTCAATCCTAGGGCAAAATCAACCATATAGAGAATTAGAATTGCAGGGGTGGGTGCTATCTAAATGACTTTGAATTTCTTAAGAAAACTCAGGCTATATTTTTTAATGAATAAATAAAATTTAAAAAATGACTCTCCTATTTTTACTCCAGAGCTAAGAGCTGAGGTTGAAATTATTGAGCAGATGAGTAGCAGTAGTGGCAGCAGTTCATCTGATTCTGAGAGTTCCTCTGGGAGCGGTGATGAAACTTCCAGCAGTGATGGGGGTGAAACTGCACATCCTTCTCCTTCTCAGCAGTGTAACAACAAGAATGTGGTTGCCAATGGTACTGGCAGGGCACAAGGCAACAATCAACTCATGAATACTCTCAGTAAGTATTTTCACTAAGTAGCTGTCATACAACATAAATGCAACCTGGAAATTACAAGAACTATAGACCAAGATTTCATGAGAGCATCATGCTTAGGAAGGCTGCTCTAAGTACAAGTTGCCCTCATTCCTGGGGGATAACAGTACTGAAATAACAAGATTTTTCATCTTCGGGAATTGGGGTTGAGTCTGTGGCTGACCTCCTCCCATAAGAGTTGTCTATGTACTGATCTTTATTTGCTCCTCTTTCATGCCCAATTGAAATGCATCCCATTGGGTCAGCTCAATCAGGAGGGCTCCATGTGGTTCCCTTTGGGTAACTAGCCTCTTTCAAGTGACTTACTGTGGGAACAGTCTGCAATCAGCACTAGCATTCAGAAGGCCCATAAGATGGTGATGCTGCCTACAACTTGCTTGCGTTAATTTCTGTCAGGCTACTGGATATTAATGCTGCCCACACACAACTTATGGAAATCAGTAATTCATAAATTATATGTGAACAGGATGAGCACATTCAAGAAGTTGTTCCACAGAGATCCTGCAAAAACTGCAGGCAGTGGAGAAGCCAGCATAAACCATATGGTATAAGAAGGGCAGCTCCCATCATCAGCCAGGAAAGCAATTTGAAAGGAGCTAAAAGTCAGAAAGAAGCTACTTAGAGCCTCACAATCAAGCTGCAACTAAGTGAAAAGGAAGAAGTGGTATAGGCATCTTGCTTAAGTGATATAATTCTTTCAAAAATATATTTTATGCATCCACAAAAGCTTGTCTGCTTTTTTGACATGTGTAACATTTGCACCTTTTTGCAAATACAAAAATATTTGTAGGCTTGGTTTCTATAATTGTGGATATAAGACTGCAGATAACAAGTGACATTTGGACTCACAGACACCCTTGTTTTCTGTTGAGTCCTTGCTGCTCTCTGAATTGGTTCTTTGCTTGCAGATGTTTCTTTACCTAGTTAAGTAATAGCAATAGCATTTAAACTTGTATACCATCATTTAGTGCTTTACAGCACTTTCTAGATAGTTTACAATATATTATTTGCATATTGCCCAAACAATCTGGATCCTCATTTTACCAACCTAGAAGAATGGAAGGCTCAGTCAGCCCCATCAGGCTCAAACTCCAGGCTGTGGGCAGAGTTTGCCTACAATATTTCATTTTAACCACTGCTCCGTTGGGACTCTTTCTCATAAGATCATCGGTTCCTTGACTAGGATATTATTTCTGCTTGATTGGAGAGAATGTGTTCTGGTCTTTTTGTTTCCTCCTTAGTTTTTATTTACCATCTCTCTTGAATTATTTGTAAATGTGATTCTCTGTATATATCTTTAATGGCTGATTTGTCTAAATGCTAAGCTTCCAGGAATTCCCTAGATATTTTGGATTTAGCTTGCTCTAGGATGCTCACAGTTTCTCAGTCAAAGCTATGATTGAATCTGTCCACATGACATTAAGGAGTATCTTTTAACTACTAGTTGGTCTTCATGGATGCACTCTGCTGGTCTTCTTGTTGGTCCATTATAATGGTTGTTATTTCTGCAAGCAAACAAGCAAACTCAACACCCAAGGACTTCACAATTCAACCTTAAGCTAAATGTATTCCCTTCTGTTGGAAATACTTATTTTTCTTTTCCAAGGTGTACTTTATTTTTCCCTTTATACACTTAATAGTTAATCTTTATGTCATGATTTTTTATAGATAGTAGTGACTTGCATTTTTCAGCATGACCTCATAACTTAGGGCAGTTGTTATTGGTCTGACTGATTCAGATCTAGTCTAAAGAAACTGATACTAACAGTACATGCAGTTGTTTTAGTTCATATTTGTTCAAAGTCCCATTACTGGATCAAGTCTGTGATGGAGCAAATAAAAAACCTAAAACTTTAGTTGTACACAAGTTTATTAAAGAAAATTATGAGCTTGTGATTTGCATAGGAATCATTGCAACATTTGGGCTTCTTATGAATCATGCCAAAGAACACTAGGAACAGAGAAATAATAGAACTCTGGTCTTAAATATACATACCAGAAACTAATCCACTTGGAGTAAACTCTTTAATGATCTTATAAAATTGCTGCCTATTTTTTCTCTCTATGTCTCTCATAGCTAACATTTCATAATTCATCAATGTAGAACTTAATTCAAAATTAAGACAATTCTCTTTTTTTTAACAACAGGAAATGACTTGCAGTTGAGTGAATCTGGGAGTGACAGCGATGATTAAATTAGGTTTGCTGCTTTTGTTTCCTGTTATATAAAAATGCAGATTTAATGAAGAGTAATACAAAAGTGGTAACTGACTTACTAGAACCCATCTATATAAATAGAATTGTTAACATTATGTGACCTGAAGAGAAATGTTCTTGGAACAGAACTGTCCTCTGTTTATTCTATGTATAAATTAAGTCTGTTGTAGTATAATTGTTTAACTTTTTTTCAGTAGGTGTGAATAATTTTAATCTAAAACTGAAATCTATCTTCAGACATGTAATATACCATCCTGTAAAAGATAATAATCTTGATGTATTCTAATCAGGTTCTTGCTTGAGTCCCTTGAAAATTTAAAGCAAAAGTTATTTATAAGGTAGATGTCAATCATTTAAAAAACAAATACATACTTGGATATTCAATGAGATATTAGAATAAGAATGATAGTACCTAGACTTCATAAGTTTAAGGCAGGAGCACAAAATTATACAAGTGGATATTTGTGGTGAATAAAAATTCCCTTGTGACAAGGAAAGTTTAATCATCTAGAAAAAAAAAACTATCTCACCCTGCTCCTATTTTTTTCAGGCTCTCTTGAAAATATTTTATACTATAAACACTTGGCAAAGGTATATATAAACAGGCTAGCTAACAGAGGTTCTCAAAGACTAGTTGTGAACTTAGCTCTAAGGATTTATTAGGGCTTTTTTTATTTTTGCAGGAAATTTATATAGTCATTTATGCACAAATGGCTATTTGTGTGCAAATAAAAAAAACAAACAAATGCCATATTATTACTTACGCAAATATTTCAGATTGTGCATATGTGTCTGCTATCCTAGTATTGAAGAAGCCAGTATTATTTAGTGCTCCATACTCCCAGGTACAATTAAATTAACGTTGCGTGTCTGAGATATATAACATTTCTTTGGATAGAAATGATAATTGTAAGATTTTCTTGTTTACTAATATTTAGTGCATATAGCATAGAATGATAAAGTCTGAAACTTCAGATGATATAAAAGAAATACTTTTTCATATTGATCTTGGAACAATTGCTAGCCAATCTTGTTCCTAACAAGATTTTTGTTTCAAACACTGATAAGTCTCATCTGTCAAGCGGCTTTGGTTAGAAGAAGAGACAACCCTTCACATATTGTTTCCTAATGAAGTATTTTAAACTTCATACATGCTTTGTACTAAATACAGCTAACCCATTTATACAATAATTTGAAATAAAAAGTAGAAAATTAATGCAGAAAAATTCTTTCACCAATAAAATATTATTTCTTGAGAATTTCATGAGTTAAAAGTACCAAATTGTTTTTTAAGTTTAATTTAGTTTATCTATAGTTATGCTCCCATATTTTCAAATTATTAATATACAAAATATTTTGAGCAATTTACTTGTATGGTAGCTTGTTAGCAACCTTAGTAAGAAACATATCCAACGATTTCCTACAATTTAGGGTGCATATTATCAAGATAGGTTTTAAGGTAATGAATATTATCTAAAATATGTGACTTCATTTTAATTTTATTATTGTTTAAAAAGGGGGGTTAAGCAGACAAAGATTATTATTGTTGTTGTTACTGGAATAAAAGTGCCTTGTGTTTAAATCAGATCTAGTTTTCCTCTCAAAAGTTCTACTACTTTGTCCCACACAAGCAGCAGAGTGGCTTATATGCCAGTGCAAAAGCATGGACTCAGTAGGCTGAAAAAAATGACCTCATACCTAGTGACAAGTGAGAAACAAAGTATTACAAGGCAAACCAGGCAGAATAAATATTTGTGTCTCTTTGGCTTCACATAGCAGTAGTAGCTGTTGTGAAGAGTTTGAAATTGACTTGCATAAGTCAGTGATCTGAATGCCATAATAGCTTTCAGTTGTTGTATGAATTTTTGGCAGACTCCTTGTCTAGAGCTAACAAACAAATGGGGGGAGATAAGCAGTGCTATACATTTTGGGAGGCAAGATAATCATCTTCTTTTAGAGGGAGGGAGAACAATAAACTTTAAATTTACCATCAGGGCTATGAACCATTCATGACTGTTCAAATTCAGAATGAAGGGGATGTTCATTTTTGTTTTGAGTGGCAAGTTGTATGCCATTAAGGCTGCAATGAAATCTCAGAACAGGATTCATTTTTCCCCATAGTGTTGCAAGATGAGGTCATGGTACTTGACAAAAGCAAGATAAATTGTTCTGGTTAATAAATATATAAATATTAATATGGCTTCAACGCTGCAGTCTGTATGTACTTATATGTACTTCTTCAAAAGTCAGCTTAATTAGGGCCTTTTTAAAAATGAACTTTATCATGGAATTTCAATTATTTTATAGAGGCATGCAAATAGTAACCTGAAGGAAAAGAATACTTCAACAGGGCTGAAGTGTTTCCAAACTATTCATGGTCTATAACGCTTGCACAGGAGATACTCTTTTGATTCCTAAAGAGAATTCTTTTGATTCATGTGGCCATATGTGATTTAAAAGCATGACTATTGAGACAACTGAAGCGTTTAACAGTTCAAGTATTAAAGGAATAAAAATAGGAATGAAATGGAATCTAAGAAGTATAATACATTATTTTTGATGCAATTTTGCCTCAGATGTACTTGTATCATCAATCTATATTTGTTTATATTTCTGTAATTTAGATTATATTATTTGTAACATTTTGTAGTTTTTCTTTTAAAATTTATTTAAATAAAAGAATAAGCTTTAGCAGCATAAACACTGTAACAGAGTTTTCTCTCTTGTTAGAACTCATCTGACCTGTTTGAACTTAGTACTCTTTATACTGTTTTACACAATACAATTATACAGTACTGGGTTGAATACCTTAACCATAGTGAAGAATTGTTACTCAGTATTATTTACACATGAATGCACAATCTTAGATATACATGTGGTCCTGACCCAGAAACACAAGAATTGTTACAGGTTTGTAGTGTGCACATCACAGATTTAACAATATAGTTGTATTGGTCTTTGATCAAGTTGGCATGATTAACTCATTCACAAATATCAGCATTTTCCATAAATATCAGAAAGCTAGGATAATTAGTATACAGCATAAGAATGGAGACAGGGATTGGAAGCATTAGAGACATCCACAGCATCCATTTAGCTGGCTGTGCAAACGTAGTCCATAGTAGTTGACATACTGTGAAACAAACTAGGTTTCGGTACAGAAATCTAGCTATAGACTGGAAAAATATTCCTGAATTATCAAAGAGAAATCTTGTTCTGTATTTTGCCCACCATTAGTATTAAAATCCGATGTCCATAAAGTTTTCACTTTTTGGAGGCGCAGTGGTTAGAATGCAGTATTGTAGGCTAACTCTGCCCACTGCCAACAGTTCGATCCTAACTGGCTCAAGGTTAACTCAGTCTTCCATCCTTCTGAGGTTGATAAAAGGAGGACCCAGATTGTTGGGGGCAATATGCTGATTCAAATACGCTTCTGTGACAAAGAGGCCCAACGTTAACTCAGCCTTCCATCCTTCCAAAGTTGGTAAAATGAGGACCCAGATTGTTGGGCAATATGCTGACTCTGTAAATTGCTTAGAGAGGGCTATAAAGCACTATGAAGCAGTATATAAGTTTAAGTGCTATTGCTATTAAAGTTTTTTTGCAACTGAATTGTATAACACTACCTAAATACAAAATGTAATGAGCTGTTGAAGCTTTGCCCCAAGGTTGCTTGCAATCAGCCATACCCTGTCAGGTATTGTGATTCTGTTAATCTTTGATGATTTATTTTTACTGCAGGAGTATTTGACTTGCCCACCTGAGAGTGAGCAGTTAATCCTGATGAATCCAAGGACCAGACACCCATAAAAATTTTAGGAGTCCTATGGTCTGTTTACCATTATAACATGGTTAACAAGGTACAACATTTTCCCCTTCCCTAAATGGTGCAAAAGGAAAGGTGATATGGTATGGAATTGGAAAAAACATGCTTTCAATGAAGTAAAACATGTAATTCAATAAACTATGTAAGTTCCAGATCAAGGGAATCTTTTAAAACTGACAGCAGGAGTCATAGAGCAGAGCTCCCCAACCTTTCCAGGATGGTGGCCCGGAGGGAGGGAGGAGCAGGGAAATGTGCGCAGTGCGCACACAGCAGTGATGCTAGCACCCATGCGCAAGTGGGCCGCTAATGCCTGTGTGATGCTGGCGGTGGTGCTAGCACCCCCACGCATGCACAAACGCTGCTAGCGCGAGTGAGGATCGTGCATGCACATGTGTGCGTACTTGTCAGCCATTCCCATGGCCCAGTGGCCAAGAGGCCACGGACCGGTACCAGGCCACGGCCCACAGGTTGAGGACCCCTGTCATAGAGGATAACCATACAAGGGATCTGGCAAACCAACTCAAATCAGAAAAAGTGGCCTATAGAGTTTTGTTGCAGCTAGTTCAGAAGTATTCCATACTTCAATATGGTATGAAGTGGTATATAAGTCTAAGTGCTATTGTTGTTCATATAATCAATTTATGCAAAATCCTTCGGGGTATGGTGTGGTTACATATATTCATAAAGGTAACTGTCAAATATCAATCTATAACTATAAAGCCATTTGACGGGAAGAATGTGCAAGTCATCTGAAATAACTAGTTATAATCAGTTGGTGCTCAAAACTAATTGATGGGCAAAAATGTTTTGGTGGGAAAAAAGGAACAAGAGCCAAAAATTTAATAGCTCTATTCACACAAAAATTGAGCTGTAATGGTTGTACAAACCATTTAAATTGTCACAAATGGATTTAATTTTAGCTTCAGACTAATGCCTTCCAGTTAACTGTGTCACGTAAGCAATGTTGAGAGAATGAAGCATTAATCACCTCTCTGCTTTTGAAACGTATCCCTAGAAAGGCAGCACAAAATGAGACTACTCTACACTTTCTTTTCCTTCTCCCTATTTAGTGTAGCCTCATATGTCTTGGAAAAACATACGTTACAAGGGAGTGGAGGTGAATAAGCCACCATCTATCCACGTTTATCCACAATCTTACTAAATCTTATTGGGTCACTGAATTATCCATTCATGAGGCAAAGGAGCAGGCCACATCAATTCCCAGTCTCTGAATCTCACTGCATCATCAACAATGGAACAGCATCTTTCAGGGGCACAATACACATTTTCGCTCCTGAGACCTCATCACTACTCTCTTATCTCCCATTATTTGATCCTGAAACAACCACCTAATGATAAGATCTGCTTGCTTCACCAAAAATGTGGTTTCTCTAAAAATCAATGACCCATTAGACTGCAAATAACAGCTGTATCTGAAAAATTGAATATTGGAGTTTATCAGCCTCTCAACAAGGAGAAATTGTTTTTATTTTAAAAATGTTTGGTGCCAAAAATAAATTAATGTGCATATTTTATAAAAATTAATGCATTGTTAATCTTGACACTCCATGCAATCAATATTTAGAGCTATTATGAAAATATAGCAGAGAAAAAAGTACTCTTTAGATAATCTGCATGTAATGAGAGTAATGGGAAATTGAGTTTTATTCAACCAACTTTCTCAGTTACTAAAGCTAAAAAAAATGTACACGCATCTGTGAACTGCACTTGGTTCTTTTGGTTCCAGAGATAATAAGCACACTAGTAAATAAAAGGATTTTGAGCTTTATTGTTAGTTCAAGCAACAGAATTAAAAGCATACATAACAAGCAAGATAACACCCAAATCTCTTAAAGGCTGCCAGGAGTTCCTTAACAATGACAGTACATATGCTTTCAACAGTACTCAGTTCCATTGCAGAAGCTCCCCAATTAACAACAATCCTAAAGGTTTTATCAAAACTTGGCACTGTGATTTCATGGCCCTATGTTCAGGAGACTGGAATACTTGACCTTGACTGATTGGCACATGAATCTAGGATGGGAATCAAAAGTCTGAAATTTTCGCAGCAAGAGAAGCTTTGAAACTACATGAAGATTTCTCCCCCTTCTCCTTTGTTCAGCAAGCAAGAGTGGAAAAGAAGAAGGCTAGTTCCAAATTAGTCTATTCTTAATATGAAGGAGAAATCAAAATATCTCAGTAACTTTTCAAAATAACAATGCTCTTCCCACATTGCCACTACATTTCACCTCTGACATATTGTAATTTCTCCCCATATTTTTTCTTTGCATGATTTCCAAGTCTCCAAGTAATAAATGGTACATTTTCATAGAATCATTTAACTTTAACATATAGAATACATATCTAGATAGCTGTTAGAAAAATAAGTACTGGATGCTATGCCAAATTCAAAATATTGATCATAGTTGGGCTCCATTCTGAAAACACTTTGCAAGCAGCCCTACACTTATGACCATAACTGAGCCCAACATTTATGTTACTAAGCAAAACATTTGTTAAGTGAGTTTTACCACATTTTACAATCTTTCTTGCCACAGTCATTAAGTGAATCAATGAAGTTGTTTAAGTTAGTAAGATGACTATTAAGTGAATCTGGCTTCTCCATTGACTGCTTTACAGAAGATTGCAAAAGGTGATCACATGACCCTGGGACACTGCAACAATCCTAAATATGAGTCAGTGGCCAAGTGTCTGAATTTTGCTAATTTTTCTACAGGGAAGCTGCAATGGTCATGTGAAAAATGGTCATAAGTCACTTTTTTTCAGTGCCGCTTTAAATGACCACTAAACAAATTGTTGTAAGTTAAGGACTACTTGTATTAAATTTCTCCAGCAACATCTGGAGATATAGTGGTCTTGTTTGGTTTTCTAAAACTGAATGCAAGATGAACAAACAGCATTCTTGCTTAATGACACCTGTTCCTCCCTAGCTGATAGCAGATGGATGGTCCCAATTACTGCTAGGACATCAGCAATTGTGTTCAAGGACTAATGCTCATGTACTGGTAAATTAGAAAAAATACAGCTATTTTAACAATCAGTTATTGAGTCATACTCATGCTAGGTATCTTTGTGACCCCAATTATCTGTAAAAGCTACTGTAATCCAAAATATACACGACAGCTTCAAGGAAAATTTTTCTAGAAAATAGAAGATAGAAAATAGATGGAAACAATAACAAATTTATTACTAGTACTTCTTTCCTAGTTTACCATCTGATTTTCTATATTAGCCTTTCTTTTCTGTGGATGTAAATCCACGCTGATCTTTTAAGGTATTAAAGTATTATTCTTTGGGCTAGCCATCCCTTTCACTTGGCAAAAGTAGCTCTTGAAAAATATATTGCTGTCCCTTTATTACATAGGACAACCTAACGTTCTCTTCTATAATCTGGGTGCCGAATACCTGGAATCATTTATAGACAAATCAGACCTGAGAAAAATCCAGTCATACTATACTATACCATAAATCTACACCTATACTATAAATCTACAGGCCCAGAGATATAGCCCAATTGCTTTTTGAGTGCCCATGGTTAGATATTTGTACATTAAAGCCAAAGTGAGGGCATCAAAATAATTTGCAAAGGAGAGGGCAAATATAGTTTACCAATTGTTTTTTCAACCAATTAATATTTTCTAGAGGCACCCCTCGAAGAGTGGGCTTGTTATTAACGTCTTCCAGGAATATGACAGGTCCCCAAGTTACCATTTATATAGTGATAAAGTGAGCAACCTTTTGTTATAAATAAGCTTTTCATTTCACCAAAGCAGAGACTTAAATTGACCTCAACATCTTTTTTTCTGTTTTAGAGTCACTTATCCATCCCTACATTGGGTGTTGTTTTAACTATGATTGGGTTGATTTCTTCCATATATTGTAGTACATAT